CAGCAGGAGATGAGCAGGAGACAAAAGTGGTTTTGGGGCAACAACCAATTCGGAACTAACGACGCTTTGATGAATTGGGGCGTATCACCTGCTCGTCCTGTGACTGTAAGACCTCGACTAGTAGTAAAACTACTCCCCAAGCTACGAATGAAGGAGCTCCCTCCTCTCTTCTCCGTTATTTTCCCACCCAGTGGGACTCGCGGTTGGGGTCATTTCCATTATCAATAAGCGCATTGTCATTCACTCTAGTATATCGCTCGTGCGCTGCTTTAATCGAACCCCATTGCAGAGTGCTTCCTCCACGACCATTTCCCTATACCAGCCAAACCCCAATTGCTGAGATCATGTGATCATCCCCACCGAGTCCTGGATGATACCGAAAAAAACAAAATACAACCTAGGATGGTTTGCAGTTCATTCTAGCATGGGGCGCCCGTTTGATATGCGAGAATAGCCGAATCCATCATACTCTATATGATCACCCGCGTTGCGGCTGATGACGCTGGACCAACGGAAAAGAGGAGGGTCTCTCCCAGGGTTCCAATCCTCCAAACCGAGCAAATTCCGTTAGTCTGCGTCTAGAAATTTCTCCAGCAGGGTGGGTTGGGACTTTTCTCGGGAGTGCAAAATTAGAGCCCTCCAAGATGGGGGGCAGAACAAAGGTGATTCATCATTCCTTCCCCTGCCAAGTCGCGCGTTGTGGGACATCTTCCGTTCTTCAGCGACGCCGTCCGATCATAGTCCTGCGTCTAAGTGGGTAAAGAGAGGAGGTGAGAAACGAGAGGGGAGCGGACAAAGGGAGGAAGAAAAAAAAAAGAAAAGAAAAAGAGGAAAGTTAAGTGGACGGGTAGGACAAAAAAAAAGAGTTTTTGGGTTCAACCGTCACAAATACCAATGATGATCAATCCTTCCATATCAGAACATTCAAAAAAACTTCATCGACTGTGAGAAAAGGCTTCCCTTTGAGTATGATCATCACAGGGAATGAAATTGGATCGACGGCTGATTTCCTATATGATACAAAGCAACGGGACCAGGGGATATCGTGATGGGGTATGAGAGATAAGACAACTCCACATATATTATGTCCTACTATTATTGTGCGCGTCCCGAGGCAAGAAAAACCGAAAGTGATCGCACTGCGGCAGAGAGAATTCGGGGGAAATGTCTCACCCCATATCTCGGGATGGAAGGGAACCGACTACGGGCAGCTATCGATCTCTTAAATCGAAGGCTTAAGGGAAAATTGCCTGTCCAGATCGGGTACGGAGTACATTGAATCAGGATTCCAAATGGTGTTCTTAATAGCTCTGTTTAAGGGGGAAAGGTGCTCCCCTCGAAATCGACTCGGTCGAAAACAATGACCAAATGCCGATAAGGACAACGGACATACGGAATACAAAGTGTGCCGTACTCCGGAGGCTGTGGGAATTAAAGGGCAAACTTGACGTCAGTTTTATTACGAGTTGATTATTCTCCGGTCTAATAATTACCCCAGCCGGGATTTGCGTCTCGTTCCATGGGCCAAAGGATGATCTGCCCATGGTTCGTGCAGCAACTGTATAGCTACCAAGCCTTCCGTAGTTCTGGCGCTAGCGTTGTCTTCCATTGAACTACCTATGCTGAAAGGCTGTAGTGTGCCCAATAAAGTCCCTTCTGTGATTATTTTCACTTTCTCCATCTCATAAGCCCCTCTGTTATTCCTATTATCTCCCAGAATCGTCAAAACTTACTATAACTTCACTTATCAAACTTCAACCAACGAAACAAAAAGCCAATAGCAGATCAACTAACGTGAAGCATCACCTTAATCCTGAACTGCTTAACCAAACCGCCATCCAGATTAAGTTCCTTGGACTTCCAAGCCTTCTGCAGTTCCTGAAAGACGATAGTCAGGTCGTGATCGACCCCCTGGCGGACACGAATTTCAAATCCTGACCATTCAAACTTAACGGAAGCTGCAAGGACCAGTTGCCCAGACTCCCAGTTCGAGTTTTCAGTCAAGATCTGCCTGGATGGACTCCACTCGTCCACTCTGCATTCAGCCGCCATGTGCTCCAAGAACGAAGATGCGGACGGGAAATTCTGAAAAGACACCCAGACAGGCGCCATTCCTTCCTGGCTCGAAGCCTCCACCAAGAACTTGGTATCATTCGGGTAGTTTCCCTCCTGATTACTCGCTTTTTCAGCAGTTACGCCTGCCTTATTACTAGCACTGGTCCAATTCGCTTTCGGGCTTGTTGGCTCGGGGTGAACGTTGCCATTGTTCTCCTGGCCATGACTCCAAATGGAGCTAAACGGGCGTATACCACTCGGTGCTGAGATTCTAGGCTTTTGGCTAGTAGGTTCTGGGGCGTCCATTTCCCAATCGGTTGATGTCTTACATCTGTCAGATGCCCCTCTCTTAAGTTTATCTCCATTTGTGTGGTCCACTGTATGTCTGAAAAGCTCCGGACTTGAAGTTGATGTAGCATAGGGAGAATTCACCCAGGCTGGTGGCACGGAAGCAGAAGTACGTCGAGTGGGTGTAGCCAGCTGTATATTCCCCATAACTTCTTGTTAGTTATATGCGGACAAGAGGAGATGTTTTGTTACTGACCTCCATCGAGCCCAGCTTCTCTTTGTTCCTCATAGCACTGTTTGCCTTTCTTTCGAGCAAGAGGGCAACCGTCCGAATGATTCTATGGATTAAAAAGTAAGCATAGATAACGAGGTTTGACAAGAGAATCTCAGGCAGACTTACTCGTCTTTGCGTTCTGGGTAGGTACAGAGAGATTCGGGCTCTTCAAAAGCCTCTGGCAGCAGGTAACTCTTGCGGGTTTCTGCGCCCCAGTATGTCATGCCATACTTTTCCACAAATTTCTCAGCACAGGTGCGCCTCTTGGACTCGAAGGATTGAAGCTCGTTCCAGCTGTACTTGGTAATCTGGACATGCTCGCGTAGGCGGTTTATGAACGCGGTGTGATAATCAAACTTCAAGTCCAGGAACGTAGTAAACTTTCGGTCGCGACATTTGGCGTTCAGGCGACCTTCATCCAGGTCACACGTCATGGGATGTGGCTCCATGGTCAGCATTTGGAACTTAGAAGCAGGAGATAGACCAGAGTTGCTGCTTCCTGTGATTCCTAGCCCCGGAGGTGAGAGACACCAGGTAATGGAACACTGATGCAGACGCGCAAACCATGTATGGGGGAAGAAGAGTCATAGCATCTAAGCCAACGTAACAGTGGATGTAAAGTTAGAGGTGGAAGGGAAGCTGGAGTGAATGATTCCATGCTTTAGGGCGTTGTGTTGCTATGGGAGATCAGCCAATGACAGAAAGCGCCTATTCAATATCCCCATGTCCCTTCGTCTCCTTGATCAGAACATCAGTTGGAATATTAGTAGTAGGAGACAACTGAATTTGAAATGCAGAACAAACTAAAAAGGCCCTACACCACATAGAATATGGTGTTGAGAAAACTAACAGACTTGTCGGGAGAGGTAGAGCTAATGTATGCCTCTGATACTGCATAGAGTAAGTTCAACAACATCCAGGGGGTAACCACTACGAAGTAAGAGAGGTACAGTAGTGTACATGAATCAGAAAATCAATTGGGACTCGTTTTATAAGGTCAGTAATGTGCTTATATAGTCATCTCATCATTAATAGTCAAAGTAGAATAACAGCACAATCTTTAGAAAAGGAATCTTGAGTGACCCTCTCTAAACATCTTCATAAGAGACTCAGACCTAGGAGCACAAATGTGGAACTGTTCGTACAGCTTGACGTTTGTATCAATGGGCGGGTCACTGAAGTGTAGCTCTGCCGTCACTCGGCCCCAAGACATTTCAAAGAGTTCTTGAGTTCCTTGATGGCTGTGTTGACATCATCAAAAGTCAGGGCGGACACAGCCCAACGAGCGTGCTTCTGAGCAAGAGCAATGGAGTTATCATCAACTGCCGGTGAATTCGCATAGCTAGATGAGGGTGCTGTAGACGTTATAGGTGTAGGTGCATGAACAGGCTGGGGTGCTGGGCGTGGTACTACAGGAGCTGCTGGTGGTGGGGATCGCGCAGGTTGGTGAGGCGTGGCACTAGGTTGACCATAGAAAGAACTGGGATCGCCAGAGGCAGCTGGTGAGCTCGAGGGAGACATTTTCGATGGTGGAGGAAAGGACTGAAAAGCATCAGAAGCCCCCGAGGATTGATGGGTGCCAACGCGTGTAGGCGTATCTGGAAGGTTAGGGACTGAGGTCGAAGAAGACGTGAGTGTCGCAGGTGCTGAGGGGAGATTTAGCGGTGCACCTTGCTCCGCGTCGATATCCATATCTTGAGTTGGGCTACGTGCGACATCATGCGATGGAGTAGGTGCTTCGGTGAAACCAGTTGGAGGCTGCGGTAAAGACGGAGACGGTCCTGAAGGATGCGTAAAACTGTCGGGGACGTCTTCTACAGACGGCTGTCTCGATTGTGTAGGCAGAGATCCAACAATTGCCTGAACCTCAGGATCATCTTTTTCCACATCCAAGTCATTTCCCTCTATTTCCTCTTCCTCTTTCATAACTGGGTTCCCCGCGTTCGGGTCCTCTCCGGCCCTGATTGCCTTTGCAATCCTCACCGCATGATACTTAGCGAACTTGATTTTTGCAGCCGTCTCCGGCTCAAGAGGATTCCATATCTGGCATAGTTCAAGAAACGTGGCAGCTGCTTGGAACGTATCAGCAGTTTGCCTGCAGGAAAATTAGTTCTCTTTTTCCCTCGAAAGGCAGGGGAAGGGCAACGGACTTCGTCACCTTGTTGGCCCTCATGGTTGCCTCTGCACGCCCAAAGATCTCCAAACCAAACTGCTCCACGTAAGCATTTGCCGCAACGGCATCCGTCACCGTATCATTATCGGGGTTCTCATTTTTAAACTGAGAACATCGAGATATTAGTCTCAAATAACCTCAGGGGTTAATCGGGCATAGCTTGGTATACTTTTTCCAGCTTATCCACAAGCTCTGTCGTGTATAGCTTCACTTCATCGTCAGAAGTGTGTAGACCTCTCTCAATGATTTGGTTGACAATCCAGAAGTTGCCTGTGATTAGTAGAGGCCGCTTATCAGCTCGTAGTCCGTACCGGGTCTAATCACACAGCACTCACACCAATAGGCGACCACGGGCTTTACACGTTCAAGCTGAGCTGCTCTGACGGCAAAGCGCCCAATGTCCGCAGACTTCAGAGCAGCAGGAATGCTACTCGCCATGAGGCCACAAAAATAGTGATTTCTTCTCGGAAAGAGTTTCAATTGCTAAAGGTGGGGAGGCACAATGACAATGCAAGCGGGATGACGTTGAAAGCTCTCGGAGGGGAATTCGGGCCCCGAGCCGTTGATTTAATTTATGCGGAGTACTCCGTAAAAGCAAGCTAACTCGATTTCGGCGGTTCACAACAAACTGGACTGCAGCCCTGAGGCTACGCTCAATCAAAATCTATGCACCTTTTTTGGCTTAGTACTAATTGACAAGATCTATAGATAAACTTTTATTTGGATTTATTGATTTTAACATTTTTTTTTCTTCTGGCAAAAAAGATACAACGGGAAAAACTCCAAGTCTATCATTGTTTCCGCTCTTCTACTCTAACATGCTATTGGATATGACAATCCAAGAAGCTCAATCAAGAGCGATTAGAGCTTCTGTAGAATCGGAAATCAGGCATCTTCTAGTATCCACTCCCCAATCTCAACCCTCTCTTCAGCCAGCGCTTCCACCTCAAAGTGGTCCTCGACCTGCCCTCCAGGACCTCCAATCCTCTCAATGACAATCCATATGCCACCGCTCTCCTCTAGCCCTGGCTGCAAGTCAAAGTCCTCAACACGTACCCCCGATATGGCGTCACTGTGGGTTCCATCTTCCGAAGTCGCCAGAATTTGTTTATATGGTCCTTGCCCGAGCTCCACTGTCATTAACACGGGTGAAGGCCCAACAGGATGGCTCCCGATGACGGATTGCCTACTTCGGGTAATGAGCTTGATCCTCGTAAGCCGCGGCACTTGCAGAGAAGCCAGCATTCGGTCTCTCCCTGGGGGCAGTATGCCAATATCTGAAATGACTCTTCGTCGTCCTGCTGCCTCCGGTGGAAGCGGGCTCGCCTTGCAAGGAACTAATGAAGATATCCAGAGCGTGAATCGGCCAAGTTGATCCGGCGCGAATGTGGAACAGACGATCGTATATGATCCCGGTTCCAGGGCCTTCTTTTCCACAAGGGAACCACCGCGGCGATAGTCACCACTATCAGCGATAATGTCGCGGCTGCGTACTCGCGACACACGACTTCCATTAGACCAGAATAATTTAACGTGGGTCGCAAGTTCAGTGTCCGGGCATTCCAGTAGGAGTGAAATATCTGTGGCATTTTCTATCTCCAGCCTAAACTGAGGATTGAGCGGATATCGGGAAGATTCGGCATTCCCACCTGCCGTTGAAGGCGTCCAAGAACCTTGAATCTTGCTCATGCACATATATTTGTCTTGGGCTTTTGCCATCCGTACAGGGGAGGTAGACAAGGCAGACAAAGTAAAGTTTTGATTCAACGATGGCAGTGATTGCTCGGAGACCACGACGGTATAAGTTGTTCTGGGGGGCATCTCTAACCTCATAAGCGTATTAGGAGAATCCACATAGGGGCCACGATGTAGAGCCCCGTCACTTAAAGAGACCCGTTTGCCATCTGCGTTAAAGACATATATGCTTATAAAGGCCGACTCCTCATTTGCTTGGTATTCATCAAGGGGTCGTTCTGGCTGCCCAGTTGTTCTGAAATGCTTGCCTAGCAGCAACCAAACAATCCCACCACTCTCGGTTGATACTGCAAATTGCGGGTTATTCACAAAGCAACCGGCCACGCCTCTCCCGTTGTTGAGATCCCACGTAAAGTGGACGTCTTCGCGGTATTTGAAAATCTCAGGGTTCCAATTCAGATAGAGGTTTTCAAAATGTTGAAGCAGCTTTTCGCAATCCATCCAGAAAGTACCCGGCTCAAATGAAGGCGGGTTACTGGGTAAATCCTGGGATGCAGAGAGGCTTTCATTGTCTCCGGGAGCAGCATCTGCTCCAGCCCAAGGGTTTTTCACGAGCAATTGACGGCGCCCCTTAGATTCCTTCATATCTAGTATGGCATAGTCATGCTCACTCACGAGACCCAGTTCTATCTGTTCCCTCTCGGTGAGTTCACCGGTACCTATAGTCAAGAGAACATCTCCTTGGTGAAACGATCTGTAAATTCGCTTCCAGAGCTGGTCGCCAGTCACATCGTCATTATGGAGAAAAACTTGCTCGGGGATCCAACCTGTCAGTACCCAGAGATCTGTCCCGGAATTGCTTCCAGGAAAATCATAGCCTCCGCGCAATTTCAGGTATGCCTTCTCTACTAGCGCGGGCCATAGGAAACTGGGATTTTTCCGGTCGATCACGTGGAGTGATCTTGATGTTTTAGACGATGGCAAACGGTCGTCAATGACGACTTTTCGAAAGCACCCATTGAAATAAAAGCGAAATATATACTTGCCTGACGGTGAAGGCTGAGGGCTCCCCCGACTAGGGTATATCACTGGAAGAAAATGCTGCACCTATTAGTCACAGCAGGTCAGCTGGAAAGGGTCAGTCTGCTTACAACACACTGGCCGCGTTCCAACATTGATGTAGTAGCACAAAGGCTAGCAACGACAGAACAGTCCGTTAGCATATCCTGGACTAGATCTGTCTTCCCTGGAACAGACATCACAGGAGCCAGTCCGGTGTACACATCTTCCGTATATTTCGAGAGCAGCTCAACAGGTCGTTTCCAGCCATCAAAAACTTTCCTCTGAGGATAAGAAAGATGAAGATCGGGTTTATCGCTGATATCAGTTAGAATATCCAGCAGCCATCTGAGTATACGTGCAACATTGACAAGCCAGATCACCAGAACTTACGTAAACGGAGATTCACCATCCTCCCGTTTGAATTCGTCAGAGCCTGGGGGGCTGGACCATGGAGGGAATATGAAGCCATTCAACTTGGCTCCCTCTAGAAGAATAATCTCCTCCCGAGTGGTGAGCTTACGAGTAGATACGGGCAACCGTGGCTCTGGGACGGTTCGGTCATGGAGGCGGGCGGCAGCTTGCCAGTCCTTGGATTCTTTGATCTTTTCTGCTCTTGTGAGCCATTCTTTACATTTTGCATCCAATGCATGTTTGTCTTTCTGAACAGATGCCAATTTCAATGCTTTCATATAGTGCTCAGCAGCATCAATGGCAGCTTCTAAAGCTTGCCTTTGAGAAGTGGCAGACGATACATCCCGCTCGGCTTTCTAGCCAGTGGTCAGTATGTTATAAATGAACTAAGGTACAGCAAGAAAACAAAAAACAAAAACAGGAAAGAAAAGAAAGAAGAAAAGAAAAATGGTCAAGTACCAGTGCCTGAGTAATAAAGGACTTCTGGGTTGAGGCGTTCGGTCTAGACATACTGACACGCGGGGCAGTAGTTTGATGAGCGCCTGGGATCTTCAAGCACCGTGACACTCCGAGATCTTCCCCGCGATAGGCATAACAGTTTAACTAGCGTCTATCCGACTAGACAGGACAGTCCGACACCTTGCTTGTGACCCGTCCGAAGGGCCCCGTGAAGTTTCCGAAGGAGCGACATCCGAGGTCGATCTCACTTCCCTTGTCAAGTTTGATCAGGGCCCAATCAAGGCACTGATGATTATCACGAATGGCAATCGATTGTTAGTATTCATGAACTTAATTTAGCCTCAATTCACTCGCCGTAGAATGAGGTCAAAACAACAAAAATATGGTTGCTGGATCATTCACTAGCGTGTCGGTGGGGAGGAACGGGAGTTCGAAGGTCGGAGTTTGTCCAAATTTGGCCTCCAAACGAACCTCGGCTCATTTCGTCATGCGCAATTCAGAACACCGAGGTGCAACTACCCTGGTCCTGCCGACTCTATCCTTCCCGCATTTACCTTCAGAATGCCGGGACTGTGTGATCAGTCTTGAGGTTCTTCTATTTTTCTTTTCTGGTTTTCTTCTTCTACCCTTGCTTAAGCTCTTCCCCTCACCCTTACTGCCTGGGAGCTAGGGTCTTTTCCATCTTACTCGGCATTCACCTTTTCTATCAGTCGATTCGGTAAGTCTTCAGGCCGAACGCTAAACCCCCGACATCGCACAGAGCCCTAGCTCATTCGCCGGTCTGGGATCTACCAGTATCTCTGCTTTTAATAAACTATTCTTTCTGACGGAATTGGCAGAGGTAGTTTAGCTCATCCTGCATAATGGCTGGCCAATCGAAACCCGCGCTCTCCCCTTGGGGTAGCGCTGTCGCAGGTGCAACTGGTGCTGTTCTCGCAAATGCCATCGTCTATCCACTGGACCTGTGCGTACATAGCCTTGTCAGTTGGGCTGGTGTGGATACAGACTGACTAGTTTCTGATCTTTAGTGTCAAAACCAAACTTCAAGTCCAAGTGAAGAACGCACCTGAATCGAAAAGCGGAGATGTAGTACATTACGAGTCGACCCTAGATGCCATCAACAAAATCGTGGAAAAGGAGGGGATTGAAGGTTTATATTCCGGGATGGTTGGTTCTTTGCTTGGCGTTGCTTCGACCAACTTTGCGTACTTCTACTGGTACAGCGTGGTGAGAAGCCTTTATATGGCATCGAAGAGCGTATCTAAGCCACCCGGAACCGCTATGGAGCTTTCCCTTGGTGCTGTGTCCGGGGCTATCGCTCAGATCTTCACTATTCCAGTTGCTGTTATCACAACCAGGCAGCAGACACAGCCAAAGAGCGAGAAGAAGGGTCTGATCGAGACTGGTAAGGAGGTTGTCAATAGCGAAGATGGCTGGACGGGTCTATGGAGAGGTCTCAAGGCCAGTTTGATCCTGGTTGTCAACCCGGCCATTACCTACGGTGCCTATCAACGTCTGAAGGATGTCCTTTTCAAAGGAAGGAACAATCTGAAGCCCTGGGAGGCTTTCCGTAAGTAGTATCAAGGCTTTAATTCCTGAATGCGAAACTAACCAGTGCCGCAGTCCTGGGTGCTCTTTCCAAGGCAATGGCCACAATTGCAACCCAGCCGTTGATCGTGGCCAAAGTTGGTCTTCAGTCGCGGCCACCCCCTGGTCGCGAAGGCAAGCCCTTCAAGACCTTTGGTGAAGTTATGCGATATATCATTCAGAACGAGGGCGCGCTGTCCCTCTTTAAGGGTATTGGGCCTCAGATCTTGAAGGGTCTGTTGGTGCAAGGCTTGTTGATGATGACAAAAGAGAGGTACGTGCCGCATTCGGTAGCTGGATGTGTACTGGGACATGAACTAACGGCTTGAAGGATGGAACTCATTTTCATCGTTCTCTTCGCATATTTGAAGAATATTAGATCGCAGAAACTAAAGAAGGTCGTCGATACTGCTGCGGCCGAGGCTAAGACCAGCCTTCCGGCAACCCTGAAATAGACGTCGTTCCCACTTTCCTTCCATTATATACCAGCTTGCTAGTCTTTTTTGTTCCTGTCAACTATCTTCTATACGGCGTGCGGGTTCCGGATCTGTCAATTTTTCCTACTTCTTCTTATGATTACTAGGCATGGTTTTTTCTGTATCTTTGCCAAATATGATGTATAGAACATGTCCTACAGGATGGACATAATCACAAGATAGATCTGCCGAATGCAAATCATCTGAAAGACAGCAAACGCGGGCGAGTGGTATACATAGTGGAGACGGACTGTCTGATATCCAGAGTGATATGAATACTGAGTATGGGCAACTATATACGCGCATTGAAAACATGAATCCCCCTTGTTATTCGGTAATTGATCGATTGTTCTAAACAACCCTCCGAAAATAATTTCTTCGCGGTCGTACGGACCAGGAAACACATATGTACGGAGTAGTAGTATGCTAGCTTAATCCCACCCGACCGCCCGGCTAGCCTTAAATAAATACATTCCCTCGGCAACAACCTCCATGTTATCTCCGGAGTAGCGGTCACAATTCCATACATTTCCGCCATTCCACCTCCAACACAGCTCCCGTAAAACACCAATAACGAGGGGCATGAGCCGCCATGCGATGGCCACCATGGGCTTCCGAATCGCAAGCCCGAGAACAACAAGATGAACAAAACAAAACGAACTGGAACAAATCCCTCAATGCGATTGACTGGGCCGCATTCACCGAACCCAGGACTTTAATTCCCACTCTGATCCTCACGACAGGAATCGTCGGCGCACTGCAGATCCGCCGCCGATACCTGCGCCGTTTCCCCGACGCCGTTAGCATTTCGCCATCGTATTTCCGGAAGAGGACCATCTTGGGCCAAGTGACGAGCGTCGCGACGGCGATGGTTTCAGACTATACCACACACCCGGAGGAAGACTGGCGGGATGGGGTTGGTTGCCTTGGAAAAGAGTCCCCACCGCTAAGAAGGATCTGAGGGATAAAACGGTGCGGTGATATTATCTTGCTCAATTTCGGATAAGGGATTCTAATGGGTTATGTTTAGATCTCCGTTCGCTTAGCTGGTGTGGATGCGCCGGAACTCGCGCATTTCGGTCGCCCGGAGCAGCCTTATGCTCGGGAAGCTCATGAATGGTTGACGTCGTACGTTCTTAATCGCCGTGTTCGGGTCTTGGTGCATCGGCAGGACCAGTATCAGCGTGTGGTGGCTTCTGCGTACGTGCGACAGGCCCTCGATTTCCCGATTCCTTTTCGTCGTCGTGATGTGTCATATGAGATGTTGACGCGGGGATTGGCTACTGTGTATGAGGCGAAGGCGGGTTCTGAATTTGGCGGCCCTGAACTGGAACGGAAGTATAGAGAGGCGGAATCTATAGCAAAACGGAAGGGTACGGGTCTGTGGAAGGAATATCGTCGCAACCGCAAAGGTTGGGAGAGTCCGCGTGAGTATAAGACTCGTATGGAGGCGCAGGGTAAGGGCGATTGAGGAAAAAGACGGATCAGGCTATGTATACTAGAAGGTATGTGCCCGTATGTTTCGAGTCCTGTTATATGTTTATCCTGTACATTCGATAGCGAATTCTTTTATGACTGGCCGTTTGATATCTACGGTTACGATACGGTGACGCACCTAGAAAAGCAGAGACTATAGCATGGCCAATCTAAGAATGCATTTTCTTTCCTTTCGATCATGCTAGCCTTATTAGGTGTATCTTAACACAAACAGCATGGCCTCCACAATGAGAGGTACATGACTCTCTCGCATCATAGCCCTTGAAAGGTCGTAGAAACGTTTGACGTCAAACAGAACATCGTAAAAATAGAAGTACAGGGAGGTATCGAACAGTGGTATATTCAAATACAAGGAAATATTAGCAGAACCTCTTCTCTACCTCCGCGAAAAGCTGTGGGCTAATCTCATCACTGGTGTTGCCCTCAACACGCCATAGGCAGCCCTTGCGCTCGTAATGCTGGAGCAAGGGCTTGCTGGTTTCTTCAAATTTGCGAAGTCGTTGCTTCCATGTGTCAATCGAGTCATCCTCTCTCTGAGTCAGAGGTTCTCCAGTAATATCATCCTTTCCAGGAACCTTGGGGGCGTTGAAATCGGTGTTATATACCCTTCCGGATGGCTCGTGGACCCAACGAGACGCTATCCGGGAGAGAATGATGGATGGGGGTGTAACAAGTTCGACGACGAAATTGATAGGAACAAGTTCTTCTAAGCTGCAAGCCTGAGTAGCGGTGCGCGGAAAACCGTCAAGGATAAATGAGGCGTTGGAGGAGATCGATGAGTTCGACGATGTTGAGAGCCAGCCCTTCGATGTAAATTCGGAAGATATGAGCTCGAGGATTAATGAATCGGGGACGAGGTTTCCTGCTTGCATTGCGGCCTCTGCTTTGAGTCCTAAACCCAGCAATCATTAGGCGCAGTGTCTAAAGCACAAATGATCTGGCCCTGCTTACCCAATGGTGACTTCTTCCGGACATTTTCTCGTAAGAGGTCTCCGGAACTTATTGACGCCAGTTGCGGGAACTTGGCAAGAAGTCTTTCTGTTTGGGTGCCCTTTCCAACACCAGGGGCGCCGATAAGGATGATACGAGCAGCCTTACTGAGCTGCCTAATTGCGAGCGTCATTTCGCCCTACTCTTTTGCGACTTTGGAATGGCAATGTTTTTGGGATTTAGGGCACCGGACTAAATGTTGAGCGGAGAGTGGAGAGTGGAGAGGTTGGTGAGGAGTGCGCGCGCTAGTTTGAAATCATTCCGACATTATTTCGGCGAATGTAGGAAGCAAGGAAGATATAATATGTATGTATGTTAAATTGGAGGGGATGATTGCTTCGTGGACCTTTAGATCTGTACTCGGGATTATCTACTCAACAATTCGGATTTTACATCAGGCCGGGGAAGCCAACCCCACGGAATCTCGATGTTTTCCTGTTTAGGAAGTCGGTGAGCGGAGGGAGAGCCGGAGAGGTTTCCGACTCAGTACGTGAAGGTACTCCGTAAAACAGAGTTATCTAGAGTAATCGAACGTGCATCAACGGTCTCGGAAGGCACCTATTGCTTGCGGACCGCAGTAACCCGATCTATACACAATTGATTCACATGCATACCCTGGTGTTATGTCCGTGTGTCCCATGGGCCCTCCACTCAGTCCATGCTTTCCCTCGGCTAGTGAAGGTAAATCCACTTTATATCACGTGATATGAAGCGCGTGCAGATCGCGTGGCGCGTCGGGACCGTGTTTAGTCGGGACCAAGCATAGAAGTCTGGTTGTCAAGGAACGCTGTGTATACGTCCTTGACTGACATAGGTCTTGCGACTGTGTGGGCTCAAAATGATTCGACAAGATTTCCACAAGATTGATCCGAAGAGGAGAGCAAATCTCGACCACAAGAAAAAGCAATTTGCTGCTCCAGTCTTCAAACAACAAGATTATCCGCACCGCTTAAACTTCTATGATGTCCCACCAACGGCAGAGATTACTCTCGAGCAATTCGAGCAATGGGCTATCGATCGGTTAAGGAGTATGTGCGCTCTGCCTCCCGCCTCTCTGTGTATACTTATTGACTGGTGCAGTTCTGGCCGAGATCGAGGCCTGTTCGTATAGAAACAAATCGCCTGCCGAGACAGAAGCACACATTACACCACTCCTCCAGAAATATCTTCCACTATCCTCAAACACTTCTTCGTCGTTGGGTGCGACCGATCAGCGCTTGAAAAATGAACGACAAAAAGATCACTATTCACATTTCATTCTTCGTTTGGCCTTCTCCGCCACAGAGGACCTCCGTCGGCGATTTGCGCGAGCCGAAACTATGCTTTTCAGGTTCCGGTTCCAAAAAGATGATTCACGAGAGAGACGTGCTTTTATAGAGAGCCTCAGTCTCGACTGGGAACCTGTTAGTGATGAGGAGAGGCGTGAGCTTTCTGAGCATCTTGTGAATGCGACACCGGGGTTACGCCGTGTTGACGAAGAATCTTGGTATAAGGTTGATTGGGAGAGAGTTCCGGAGTTGGTGGAGAGACGGTCTGTCTTCTTGTATAGAGGAAAAGCATACGTACCAGGAAGGGAACAGTTGAGCATGATTATTGCGGAATTCACGGCTCGGTTGGAGCGTTCTTTAGAGGTATGTGGAACCCTGCGCCATGCTCAGAACAAAAACATTGACTATTACTAGCTCACGAGTCGAGCCCTACCACGTTTGGACGAAGATGATCGTCTCACACCGATTTTAAATCATCTGTCTAAGAACTTTGGGAGTGCTGAGTCTGTATACTCTGAGGGCGAAGGAGTTGTTGATGGCGCTCCAATCACCGCAAACAACATCGATCAGCTTTCCCAACATTTCCCACTCTGCATGCGCAGTCTACATATGTCACTGCGCAAAAACAACCATCTAAAGCATTACGGCCGACTTCAATACACCCTCTTTTTGAAAGGGATTGGCTTATCGTTGGAGGAGTGTATCGTTTTCTGGCGTCAATCATTCAAAGGATTTACCGACGACGAGTTCAATTCCCGGTACAAGTACAACATCCGTCACGCCTATGGCGATGTGGGCGGTGATGTCAACCGCAGAGGTCGCGGCTATCCTCCTTACTCATGCCAGAAGATCCTGGGTGACTCAAACCCAGGAGTTGGGCAGACACACGGCTGTCCTTACCGTCATTTCTCCGTTGACAACCTCATTGGGCTTCTTCAGTCCACTGGCATTAGTGACAGAGAATTACTGCGTGGAGTGCGGGAAGACGTGGAAAAGACTCGGTATCATATCGCTTGCAACAGGGTCTTCGAGTGGACGCACAAGGCAGAGATCAAGCGTGTAAAAGAGGACGGCACTTGGAATCAGACGGATCTGGACACCATTGTCCACCCAAACACATACTTCAAGCGCAGTTATCTCCTCAAGCAGGTGGGGAAAGCTTCAAGGAAAGCTTAACAGCTTGTTAAATGCACTTTACGAAGCTGTGGTTGCTTGAAATTTTCACTTGCACACAGTTGTACATGAGGCGTTGATGGGTTCGGTTTATTGGACGTCACAGCCAGGCAGTCTTTCGCTTAGGTAGAAATCTACGTGTAAAACTAATCTGCATATTGTAATGATATCCTCCTTTTCCCACCGCTCCCACGCCACTTAAATGGCTAAGGAGGGTCATGATGTGACCACAGCTGATTCCCAAATTATCCGAAAGGATCGGAACGACCTTTCAAATCCAGGTGCCCAGCAACGGGTCAGGTTACTCTTCACTCGATGCGAAAGAGCAACTTCGTCATTGAGATGGACGGAAGCTGCCAAAAATTCAGACGTATCGGCGATGTATAGATGAGAAAAAAAGAAAGAAGAAAAATTGGCTGCCGGCGAATTTGACCGAAATTTAAAGCACACTAGTGCGGAAGTACGGTTGCGCATAGCCGCCTAACATGCTGCAACCTGGCCTTACGGCAACAACACAGGTTCACACAACATACTCCTAGTCCCCGCATAAGTCTCCGGACAACAGCTGTTGGCGTTGCCCTTTTAGAGACCGGGTTATAGTACAGGATACTCATTCATATTTTTAGTTTGCTTAATCAACCGGATTCCTTTTTCCATTCTTGTTCGTTAGATACCCCTCTCATACGACGAAACTACCGAGCCCCGTTGTTTACCCGACAACATGGACTACGAAGCGTTGAAGGACCAATGGAGTGATGTCGAGGATCGCGATGGCATCAGACTGAGCTGGAACACGTTTCCAAGCTCACGCATGGTTAGTTTCGATGTCAGAGATTGCGAGATCCTTTTGACTAAGTAGTGCATAGGAAGCATCTCGGCTGGTCGTCCCTATTGGTGCCGTGTACACTCCACTCAAGGACAAGCCAGACTCTCCTTTGCTGCAATATGAACCGGTGACCTGCAAAGCACCTTGCCGGGCCGTTCTGAATCCTTATGCGTAGGAGATGTACCCCGGCATACAATTGGTTTAAGGACTAACGACCACCAGCAATGTTGATGTCCGTGCCCGGATCTGGATATGTCCATTCTGCCTGATGCGCAACCCCCTCCCCCCTCATTACAAGGATATCACCGAGAGCACGATACCGCCGGAGCTTCATCCTCTAAGCACGACTATCGAGTACCAATTGGCGCGTCCCGCCCCTACCCCTCCTATCTTCGTATACGTTGTCGATACCTGCCAGGAAGAGGACAGCTTGAAGGCCTTGAAGGATACTCTGGTGATGAGCTTGTCTCTGCTGCCAGCAAATGCGCTAGTGGGATTGATCACATATGGTACTATGGTATGAACCACGGACTTAGACGATGGGAGCAACGCGAGGATAGATTGTTGACCCTACCACAGGCTCAAGTCCACGAGCTAGGCTACACCGAATGCGCCAAATCGTACGTGTTCCGAGGCAGCAAAGAATATGCCGCCAAGCAAGTCCAAGAGATGCTTGGTCTCCTTTCTCCTGGAGTGCGTCCGAACATGCCTCAACAACCGGCTCGCCCGCCTCTTGGCCCTGCCGCACGATTCCTTCTTCCTGTTCAGCAGGCCGAGTTCCAGATTACCAACGTTCTTGAGCAGCTTCAGCGTGACCCGTGGCCCGTTGCGAACGACAAGCGACCTCTGAGATGCACGGGTGTTGCTCTTAGCGTTGCAGTTGGCTTGCTTGAGACCTCCTTCCAGAATGCCGGTGGCCGCATCATGGTTTTCACCAGCGGCCCAGCAACCGAGGGTCCAGGCCATGTTGTTGGACCCGAACTTAAGGAACCTATGCGTTCTCATCACGATATCGATCGGGATAACATCAAGTACTACAAGAAAGCCGTCAAGGTAAGCAAGTTCCGCTATAATGAGGGATTTGGTATGCTGATAGGAATAGTTCTATGACGCCATGGCTAAGCGTGCTGCCAATAATGGACATATTGTGGATGTCTTTGCGGGATGTCTCGACCAAGTTGGTCTTCTGGAGATGAAGAACCTTGTCAACTACACTGGCGGTCATATGCTCCTCACAGATAGCTTCACGTCCTCACAATTCAAGCAGTCCTTCGTCAGAATCTTCGACAAGGATGCCAATGACAACTTGTTGATGGGCTTCAACGCATCCCTCGAAGTACTCACTACGAAGGAGCTCAAGGTCACGGGGCTTATTGGCCACGCGGTATCTCTGAACAAGAAATCGAGTTCCGTCGGTGAAACAGAGTGCGGTATCGGCAATACGTGTGCCTGGAAGATGTGCGGCATTGATCCTTCTTCGAGCTACGGTGTCTACTTTGAGATCGCAAACCAAGGCGGGCCTGCGGCAGTGCAGCCAGGTCCTCAGAGAGGAATGATGCAATTCCTTACATACTACCAGCATTCGTCTGGTCACTACCACTTGCGGGTCACAACTGTCGCACGCAACTTGAGTGGGCCTGCTGGAGACCCTACGCTAGCGCAATCTTTTGATCAGGAAGCCGCTGCCGTCCTGATGGCGCGTATTGCAGTATTCAAGGCAGAGGTCGACGATGGTCCCGATGTCCTTAGATGGGTTGACCGGATGCTCATCAGGCTCTGTTCCCGCTTTGCGGATTATAGAAAGGACGACCCAACATCATTCCGACTTGAGAAGAATTTCACGCTCTATCCTCAGTTCATGTTCCATCTCCGCAGAAGTCAGTTCTTGCAGTTCTTCAACAACTCCCCTGATGAGACAGCCTTCTACAGACACGTTCTGAACCATGAGGATGTTGGTGACTCCCTTGTCATGATCCAGCCGACCCTGGATTCATACTCCCTGGAACATGAAGGCAGCCAGCCTGTCCTTCTTGACTCGGCTTCCATCCAGCCTTCCCACATCCTTCTGCTTGATACTTTCTTCCATATCCTTATTTTCCACGGTGAAACCATCGCCGAATGGAGGAAGGCCGGCTATCAAGACCAAGAAGGCTATGAGAACCTGAAGGCCCTTCTTGAGCAACCCAAAGAGGACGCTAGAGTTCGTACCCCCCCCCCCCATCTCAAATTCCAGGAAAACATGAGCTAACTTGGTTTAAAACAGGAACTCATTTCGGATCGCTTCCCACTGCCTCGTTTCATCGTTTGTGATGCCGGTGGCTCTCAGGCACGTTTCCTGTTGTCGAAGCTGAACCCATCTACCACACACACGACAGGAGGATATGGTGGTGGTGTGACATCGCAAACCATTTTCACCGACGATGTCTCCTTGCAGACATTCATGGACCATTTGATGAAGTGAGTATCACGAATTCAATAAGATCAGCAGTGCATACTAACTTTTGTACGTAGGCTTGCGGTTTCAGGAACCAGCTAGATACGACGATGTAGTGACCATTAAAGGGCGGTTCTACGTCGATACTTGGTTCTTCTGTATGTTTAGCGGCTATTTGTTTTTGTTTGTTACCCCGCGGTATAGCAACTACCTAGACACAATGAATTAAATTCAAATGAATTCTATCTACTAAACCTCGACTTCTCTGCACTCCACTTGCCTATTCTAGAACTCCGGAATGGAGCCTTCATGCTCCATGATATAGATCACGTGATAATGATAGGCGGGTTGAGCCCTGGCCACCTTACCTGATTGGGTGCCTCGCTTAGGCCTAGCCCGGAAAGTGAGCCTCCAGTCAAATATCCTGCGCTCTTTCAAGAAAATTTCCTTTTCTTCTTTGTACCATCCACCCCGACCAACTCTCCAAGGACGATTGACGACCTTTCGCACTCGCCATGCGTAAGTATCATCTCCTTGGTTATACCACTGGCGACTAATATGTTTTGCAATGAATAGCTCCCAAGTTCGACCCCAATGAGGTGAAGATCATTCACCTGCGAGTGACTGGTGGTGAGGTCGGAGCCCAGTCTGCTCTGGCTCCCAAGATCGGTCCTCTCGGTCTGTCCCCCAAGAAGATCGGTGAAGATATCGCCAAGAACACTGGTGACTGGAAGGGTCTGCGTGTCACCGTCAGACTCACCATCCAGAACCGTCAGGCCGCTATCTCCGTTGTGCCTTCCGCCTCTTCTCTGGTCATCAAGGCCCTCAAGGAGCCTCCTCGTGACCGCAAGAAGGAGAAGAACATCAAGCACAGCAAGTCCGTCGCTCTTGACGAGATCATTGAGATCGCTCGCAAGATGCGTCACAGGTCTTTGGCCAAGGAGCTTCAGGGTACCGTCCTTGAGATCCTTGGTACCGCTTTCTCCGTTGGTTGCCAGGTCGATGGCCGCAGCCCTAAGGATATCAGTGATGAGATCAAGGCCGGCGAGATTGACAGTAAGTTCCTTGGAACTCCATATGGGTTGACTTTCATGTACTAACCATCACCTAGTCCCCTCCGAGTAAATTATGGTCGGAAATCCGCGGCGGTCGTCTTAATGTATCGGCATGCTAGTTAGGAGAATACGATTAATGCCTTGACAAAAAAATGTTTATGAGTCATGACCTAAGATTCCCAGATTGTGTTCAATCGAAAACTCATTCGTTCCTCACTGGACACCTTGCCCTCTCTTCCCCATCCTTCCATCTGGTTGTGATTTACTCGCGGTCTATATGCGAGTGGAGTCATGATCAGACTATACCCCAGATGACCTTTGCAACACTCTGGCCCTTACCGTCCATTCCCGCCTTCGGGCCTGGTATGTGACTTCTTTCAACGTGGTATAGGCTTATTTTACGCAAAGAAGATCAAATCTCGACCCACTACTCATCGCGGTATCTTTGCGAGGGGCCTCGTGCCTCTCTCTGTGGATACAGTGATCCATCATCACGGTCAACAACTCAAGGCTTTATGCCTAGCCTATTATGGCTTGTCTGATTCGTAGACATACTTCGTAATATCTGCAATACAACTTTTTTTTCAACTTCAGCTTTGCACTCTGCCTAATTATAGTTGTAATTGTTCTTCCTACGCATTCTCTGAATGTACATGCAATAATACTACTAGTAGCTTTGCATACTTAAACATCGAGGACAAAGTCAATCTCCGATTCGTGCCGTCGATGCAAGCTCTCTACTCCAAATGAAACGCGTCAGTAAATGGTGCCGGTATATTTGGAAACGCTTCTACCCCTCAGTGTGGAATGTACTCCGTACCCATCTCGGCCTGAGCGACGATGATACCATATCGTTTGTATACCGAGAATGGTATCTACGTGTTTGGTAGTACGATATGAAGTACACCCCCGAGATGCTCGTTCTCCACCGACTACTAGTAAGGATTCAATGATTACAGTCGTGGCAGGGTTCCTGATACGCGCCCAGCTGCAGGTGCCCCCCTGATGCCGATAGTGGTGGGATATGGGCTGAAGGGGGGTGCACAGTGCCACCGCCATGTATGTCCTACAGCCCATATCCATACATCAGTCACATATGCTGTGTAAGTCACGTTGGGTAGGGATGAGTCAGACCATGATGTGTAACGGATTGCTGTACCTTGTTATACATCTCGCAATCTCAACAACACATCATCGGTTTGATATATATTTCTTCCCCGTTCTCCAGGTGGAACGTGGCCTGTGATGATTTAACTTTTGGCTCCGACAATCTGGCAACCTTCGCCCGCCGGTCAAGAGAGATTATCTCGGTAGATCAGTATATATGGGTCATCTTATACCTGAGTCGAAGGTGGAGGAAGAGGAGAAGCGAGAGGCAAAGTTTTGCCGATCGTCATCGTCAGACCGCTCGTGACAAGGCTAAAGGAGAGCCGGCGGCCCCATTTCCGCCCTCATCGATCCCAATAGACCCTGGTCTGGGCGGATGGAGAGCGTCGGAACTAGCAGGATGAGTGATACCTAGCTGGTGATTCCTGCGCAGGAGGAACACTAGTGAGTTAGTTATAGGAGTAGCCATGGGGAGGATGGAGCCCATGGCTGAATCGAATTGGCATGACTGGATACAGGTGAGAAACGGGCTGCGTTGGAAAGTTTGGAAGTTGACTCCACACCCGGGAAAGTGGATTTGAGTTGGACCATCTGGGTTGGGTGAGATTATTTTTATCCAATTTTTTTTTTTTTTTTTT